ATTTCTAATTATCTTCAACATACTTCTCGCTATGTATATATGTATACTTTATTTTATTTTCTCTTCTCCTAATCTTTACGCATAATCACTTAAATATCTTAGGGAACATATGTATATCACTATTTGTTTTTTTATATTTTTTTTGTTTTAGTTTTTACAATTTCTTTCCCTACATATTAACAGTTATTATTATTTTTTAAATTTTTATATTCCATCACTACAATGCTTTACCTATAAAATAGATTTTACTTTCCTTTCTAATTTCATTCAGTGATTATTATACAATTATTTTAGTTCCAATATTGTAGTACTGAACCCCTATTACCAAACTGACCTCGTTAATTTATCTTAAGAACTTAATTAATACTTAATACATGTATTTTGTTATTATTCATTGTAATAAGTCTTTTGACCAGATTTATAGTTAATATATATGAACAATACTGTTATTTTAAAGGGACCTAGTCCCAGAATAAAGATGATTTTTCTATTTCTATTTCTATAAGAAAATTGACAAGAAAAGAAATAAAAAGTGTGAGATTCTGAGAGTAATATTCTCAGTGAAGAATATAATCTATCAATCTAATCTGTTAGTATTATAAAACGTGAGTAAAGTCATGAAATAACGCATGAAAAATGAAGGTAAAGCATTGTTAGATAGTAGAATACATGGTCAGACGGTGTCAGATATTTCTTATAAAATTAAATTAGTGAATAATTTGATGATTTTTTCCTTCGTGATATCCCAACATTATCAGCTTACAATTAGTGTAACAACTTTTGACCTATCCATGGCAGGCGATGGAAATATCTTAATATCATTTTAGTAAACTTTACAATGGAGAGTAACAGTTTAATTACGAACAATCCTACATACAAATAATCCATAAGCATTTATAGGTTAAATATTCACATATATTTTCAAATCCTCTCCGAGGCGTCTGAAAATAAGATGGCCTCGTGATCTCCTTTTGTAAATACATTCTTAGAGTGGTACCAGTGGGTAGTTTCTCAACAAGTGATTTCATGTTATTATATTCTTCTGTTCACATTTACTGAATGTATTTTTACTTGTAACAAATTTGTAAAAATCATCAATAAAAAAAATAAAATTTCAAATCTCTCTAGGCATATATGAGCCTTTCGGTTGACAGAATGACTAACTCCAATTTCAACATTCATTATTATTAATTTTAGTGATGTTTCTAGTCAGAAAATGTATACCTTTATTCACAGTTCTATATTTCAACACTATTCTGCAATAAACTATTCTGCAATAAACTTACTCACAGTCTGTATAGATATAACTTTTCCTACTAGAAATATCACTAAAATAACATTACTCAAAAATGTTGAAATTAGAGTTAATCATTCTGCCAACTGAAAGGCTCAGAGAATGAAGTTGTTTAATTCATAAAAGCAGATGGAGTAACTAGATTTTTATTGCCTACCGTCGATATAATAAATTAACTTTTTGTAATTTTAATAGTCTTAATGAATTGTTATGTTGTAAGTTTTAAGCTATAGCTCCGTTAAAAGTATACTGGAAAACTTTTATAATTGTTAAACATTGACAGCAAATAATTTCTATTCAAAGTAGAACGGTAAGTGAATGTTGTGTGTTGCAAGCACCAGATTTTTTCAACTTCTCACAAGTGACGAGCGTAACATAATAAGATTGGCCGACCCACACAACGGGCATCCCTATGCGATTCTCCCATTTGACCCGCCTTAAGTCCGGCACTAAATTTGTAGGCATTGAAAGGGCGATGGCTATTGGTTATTTGGTAAAATATTGTATGTAGGAATTATTTTATGCTGTAGGAGAAGATTCTACCTAATTTTACGTAATGGAGGGAAACATAGGGTCGTGATACTTTATACAATAATCGATCGGTTTTCATGGAATTTAAAGGAAACGTTGGTACCAAAACGGGTCACTTATTAAGTTGATCAAATTCCATCCACTACTTTCTCTTACGAAAACGCAATTTTTTCACGTACATACATAAAAAAACTGTTTGATTTTTTCAAGTTTCAAGTCAATTTACGATTTGTAAAAACATTATCTGTATCAATTTCAAAACATGTTTTTTACTACTGCATGGCTTACCGATACACAAATATATATTTATTTATCAGCCTATAAATATATATATATTTTTTAATTGGCTTGTACAAGCGAACATTGATATGCCTAATGGCAATCTGGCTTCAAATGAGAGAAAAATCAGGAATCAGTGACAAAATGATTAAATGACAGTTTCATCAAATTCTGTTTAACAATTCAACAACATACCTTGAGAAGGAGTTGGTCGGAGGTGCAGTCAATATATAATAACATATATAGCATATATTTTATAATATATATTATATATTATGTATTAACTGCACCCTCGACCAACTCCTTCTCAAGTTATAATTAAAGTCAACCATCTCCATATCATTAAAGGAAATAATATATATAATTTAAGTGTGTTGTTTTATTTATGCAAGACACATATTAATTCTTAATTAATAAATAAGAATCTTCTGATTTATTAAGATTGTATTAAATAAATGAATTAAAGTCAAAGTGGCGTACCTGGCTGGGTGGGTTAGTTAGAAACAAAAAATGTTGATAGACTGTTTAGATATCATAGCAAATGTAGCAGTCTAGAGATCCTACATTACTATATCTATCATCTGTTTCTTAAAGACTGTGAATAGATTTTTCTTATTGTTCTTAAAATTATTTCGATTAGAGAACATTTAATGGTGCAAATGCGTTTATCTGGTAATCCAATGCAAAAGAGTGAAGTGCCATTTCAATTAGAAAACCCTCTATTTTTCTAATCTATTTTATCAATGAAAATAAGACACTCAAGATAATTAACAAATCGGTATATAAACCGAGACAGCTTGGTCTAAGGCAAGCAATCATGCGACTACACATGTTATGTAAGTACATAGACCTATATTTGCGTGGTGCTATAGCAGATGTTGACATGCCATTTTTATGCTTTTCACGATAAAATATTATTTTTTTAAACATAAAATAGTATAATCAAGTTATTAAATCTAAATTATCTATATTTAAAATTCATATTTAATCTTCAATATTAAAAAAAAGTAATTATTTGTTATAGTAACTTCAACTTCTGCCAAAGCGTCACATATACATTTATTTTCACAATCTAAATTGGAGGTTTTTGTTTTCTGAAACTCATTTTTTTTATTAATTGCTAATAAATTTTTCATTAAAAGAAAAATATTTAGAAGTAAAAAGGCAGCTTAAACATTTTTAAGAAACTCTAAACCCTGTATAGAATAATTTATAGTTAAAAATTGAAGCATACAATTGCAAAACTAGCAACTTTCATTTATTTTGTCTTAATTGTAGGTATATATATATATATATATATATATATATATATATATTATATATATATATATATATATATATACATATATAGCTAGTTTTGCAATTGTATGCTATCCATAAGATGTTTCGGTGTTACATTTCATGAGCTATTTTTTTTCCTTTCATATTTTATATTTAACTAATTTTATACCAGGTCACAATGTGAAATGGTTAATTTTATAAAATTACAAAAAATTAAAGCTGGTTTAGAAAAAGAAATTTTGAAAATCAGCCATTTAAGACCTGTTAGCGAACATAAAAGAGAATAAAACCTCCATTATATTAAAAATTGCTTAATTTTACTATAATATGATGAATTCGATTAAAATTGTTATAGCCATTTTCCAAAAAATTGTAAAAATGCTTTAAATCGATGATATGATATAATAGATGATAAGGGTCAGCTATAGTAAGTCGTTTTTTACGAAAACGTTTTTCTAATATCCTAGGCATACCTTATATATGCAATTTAATTTTTGTATACATTTTTGTTTTTGACCTAGACACGTGCGCCATTTTGCAATACTTGGTTATTCGGACTTCAAAACGTGTATTTCCGTTGCATACTCGGCTTCGAACATTTTCATGATTGTAATACTTCCCCTTATAGATTTCATATATACGTAAGTGAAAGTAAAAAATAAAGAATGGAGTTTGTTGGGTTTTTTATTCTGCTCCTCAATCCTGCAAATAAATTATTTTTCCAAGCTTTGTTTCCAATTTCCAGTAATTGCAAATAAACTATTTTAGGAACGTCTATTTATTTACATTTATTCTTGCTTTTAGCTCATTCGTATGATTATTTTTATTTATTCATTTATTTTCAAATATCCATTTATAATAAGTGATATTTTATTCTTCAGAATATTTGTTTACCTTAAATATATATATCAAGTTTTGTTGAATAATAATACAGTTCGTCACATTGAAGGCCAAAGTTTAAAGCTATAGTAACCATTCATAGAAAGAAGAATAAATATAAATAATTGAAAATTGGAAAAAAAATGATAAGTAAGAGAAATGAGATATGATGATAGGATAAAAGCAAAACAGCATACGTACTTAAAAATAAAATGATACAGATAAATAAATTACAATAGTAAAATAAATAGGCTACAGAGTGTTGAAAAATGTTGAATACAAATAAAATAAATTATAAATATATTGCTATAACTGAATAATTCGAATTATTTAAATACCCAAATTTGACAATTAAGTATCGAAGAATTAACCAAGTTTTTGAAATGAAAAAGTACTTTCGTACCCTTAAAATTGAATGTTGTTACAATTGTGATGTTATTTCTCACAAAAGCAGAATCTTAAAGATATCCAAAATAAAATAAATTACGAACAATAAAGCCTACTATTAGCGAAAAATTTAACTGTATGTCATATTGTTTATGACGAGTTTCTTAAATTATTTTTAATTTTTTGTTAGGTAGTTGACATGCGTCAGAAAATACACCAATCGGTAAACGTAACTTTTATATACTTTTAAACGTCAAATCATTATAACATTTAGCAAACGATTTGCAATTAAAACATTTAAAAAATATGTTATTTATTTTAATATAACTTGTTTTTTATGATTTTACAGTAATAGCTGCCCTGGCCATCCTCTGGCCAGCGATAGCTCTTGCCTTTCCATCAGAAGAATTAGACGTCCTGAGACAGGAAAAGAATATACAGGCTATCCTTGGCGAAATAGAAATTCTAAGTTCTGAAGAAGATGACGAAGAACCTGAGTTCCCAGGATTAGATGACGACGAAGAGTCAGAAGAGGATTATTTCCGTCCACGTCCTCATCCTCATCCTCGCCCAACAGAAGAACCCGAACCTAAACCTAGGCCCCATCCACATCCTCATCCAAGACCCCACCCACACCCTCACCCAAAACCAACTGATGAACCTGAACCAAGGCCCCATCCACATCCTCATCCAAGACCCCACCCACACCCTCACCCAAAACCAACTGATGAACCTGAACCAAGGCCCCATCCACATCCTCATCCAAGACCCCACCCACACCCTCACCCAAAACCAACTGATGAACCTGAACCAAGGCCCCATCCACATCCTCATCCAAGACCCCACCCACACCCTCACCCAAAACCAACTGATGAACCTGAACCAAGGCCCCATCCACATCCTCACCCAAGACCCCACCCACACCCTCACCCAAAACCAACTGATGAACCAGAAGCAAGGCCCCATCCACATCCTCATCCAAGACCCCACCCACACCCTCACCCAAAACCAACTGATGAACCTGAACCAAGGCCCCATCCACACCCTCACCCAAGACCCCACCCACACCCTCACCCAAAACCAACTGATGAACCTGAACCAAGGCCCCATCCACATCCTCATCCAAGACCCCACCCACACCCTCACCCAAAACCAACTGATGAACCTGAACCAAGGCCCCATCCACATCCTCATCCAAGACCCCACCCACACCCTCACCCAAAACCAACTGATGAACCAGAACCAAGGCCCCATCCACATCCTCATCCAAGACCCCACCCACACCCTCACCCAAAACCAACTGATGAACCTGAACCAAGGCCCCATCCACACCCTCACCCAAGACCCCACCCACACCCTCACCCAAAACCAACTGATGAACCTGAACCAAGGCCCCATCCACACCCAAGACCCCACCCACACCCTCACCCAAGACCCCACCCCCGACCTCACCCATCCACCACAGAACAACCAGAAATAGAAGAGTTTGACTACTGATTTCCAGACCAGCAGGAAATACAACTTAGGATACAAAAAAGAAGATATATGCAATGAAAACCAAACTTGTATTTGTAACTAAAATAACATATCGACAAAGCTGTTTAATCTGGAATATCTAAAATAAAGTATTTATATTTTATTTATTTGCCATTGTATGTCCATTCAAAGCTAACATATAAATAATGGGAGTAAAACACTAACTTATGGAAAAGCCTAGTCTTTTGTAGATTTTTTTTCTTTTTTTTTTTGGAACCATATTAGCATGTAAGTACTTTCAACATAAATAACAAAGCTTGTTAACTTTTTGAAATGAATATCCAAAATAAAGCTGCAAAAAATATGTATATGTAAGAAAAATCAGATCTTCGAGTGTTTTGTTAATGTCATTGTGGTTAAATTAACATGAATTAAAATTTTGAAATGGCTTGGAATGTTAATTCTTGTCATTGGTTAATCACGAAATGAGTTTACCTTACACAGGTAAATGCTTGGCTGTAAGGGCAGGCGGGCAGGTGTGGCATGGATGCTGCGGCTGCCTTAGGTACCGCATGGCGGCCGCAAGAATGCCATTATCTCGCGGCTCTCTGCCAATCAATTATAACCTCACCACATGGCCATTGTGTCGGCTACAATGTCCAATCTACAATCAACATAATATCAACCGACCTTTAGGAGACAACATTCAACATAACTTATCAAACAATTTACTAAAATCACATTATAATAATAAAAGAAAACCACGAACAAATTAAAAGAACATCCTTACAAAATTAAATTATATACTTATTGATATTAAATAATAACTCAGCGAAAAAGGAGTTTATTTATTTTTACCGCCTTATATGTGTAGTAAATAAGTGCATAATGGACAATTATCCTCAATAATTAACACGTGGAATCCCAATAAATACGTTTTAAGAACTATAGCATTATTAAATGTCATACATTGTTCGGAGTTACCATTCAGTGTTCTAATGTGTAAACCATTAAATTATTATTGCTTTGTCTGGAAATACGTATTTGTTGTTTTAAAATAAAACAAAAATTGATACGAAACTATTTTTGCTTTCACTTACCTATTCATGAAAAATAAAGCAAGGGACAGTATTGCGATCGTGAAAATTTTCGAATCCGAGTTTTCAACGCAAATACATATTTTGAGGTCTCCTGGTCCCAAATAATCAAGCCCCAAAACGATCTGTGTGTGTGTCTCTATGTATGTGCCAGCTCCAGCCCGAAAACGAAAAGTCGAATGAAAGTGAAATTACATATTTAAGGTTTTTATATACCTGAAATGTTACAGTAAATTTTTTGTCAAAACCGGCTTACCGGAAGTGGCACTTCATATCATTGATGAAATTCATTACCATTTTATCGAAAACGGCTCTAAAGTATTGTTAACTTTTCCGTTCCTGCGTAATAGAATGTTGAATCGTTATTATAAAAATTATGGAAATGCATTTTCTAATGAAGTTAAAAATATATATATATATATATATATATATATATATATATATATATATATATATATATATATATATATATATATATATATATATTGAAATTTACAACTGTATTGCATAACTAATCTATCAAGTAAATCTGAAAACAGTGACATGACATGCACAACAGGAAGAGAAACTACCCATTGGTAGCACTCCAATTATAGTTCTATATTAGAAGGTCCCGAGGCCATCTTCTTTTCAGACGCCTCGGAGGGTTATCAGGAATAGAAGAGGAAGCAACGTTAGAAACAGGATTGTTCTGTTTTAACTTACTTCTGGTTCAGAAGTTTATTATGGAAGGACATGTATCTGGATTGAGTTAAATCGGAAACTGGCACATTAAGATCGTTATGGGTAATTTTATTTGTGGCAATGTAAGGTGCATTGAGCATTTTACGAAGGAATTTGGATTGTAATGATTGAATAACAGAAGAATTCCATGGTTTAGTAGAGCGCCAAAGCTCGATTCCGTAAGTCCAAATAGGCCTTATTATAGTCATATATATATAAGTCTTTTGTAGATAATTGGAAGTCTAGTAAGCGCTATAGTAGTCCGAAACGTCGAGCAGTTTCTAGTCGTTTCAGGCTGGTATGAGGATTCAAAATGAGTCGTTTGTCAGGTGGAGTCCTAGGTAACGAATTTGTTCAATAGGAATAAGTGGGATATTGTTAAAGGATACTATAGGACAGAAAGTCATAGGTTTAAGACGAAGAGTAAAGGTAATTTGACGGGATTTATTAGAATTTATTTTAATCCTCTAGTTTTGATACCATTCTTCAAGACTTGTGATACAAATGAACTTTAATCAATAAAATTTTATAAAGCTCAGCGGAAACTTCATAACGAAGAATTTTCGCTAAAATCGAATAATAGTAAGTGGCGCTTAACTACATCATCGGATTTATCAATTTTTACGATACTTTCAAAAACTCCTATACAAATTGAAAATTATTATTTAAATGAGGTTTATGAAAATGCTTTTTGTAGTTTTCTGCATTTTTGTTTGATTTTTTTTTTCACTCAAGTACGTACAGTTGAACCTATGACGTCACTTTTCATTCGCTTCGCAGACGAAATAGGAAGAATAAGTTGTGCAGCCCACGCCTTTTTTTCCCCTCACTCTGAATATTCACAGGCACGTTTCCTTTCCGAGAAAATATTTTACTTTACTTACCATAACAGGAAAAAATACATTCCGATTGTCCCATGGTCAATAGTGATCGTGTGAGGTACACTTTTTTTTTCTTTTCTTTGTTAATTAATTTTATCAAGAATGTAACGAGACAATTTATCCTAATCGAGTTCCAGAACTTCGTTAAAGCAACCGTTTGAACAAACATGGGACGAAACGGTTTTACATTTTTCTTCGATTCTATTGAAGCTGCTTTATTGGACACGAGTAAAATATCATATGAGAAAATGAATAAGTTAAACACAACAGTAACACTTCCGATACTTTTATCGATCAGAACTAAATAATTCATTAGCTTCATTTCGAGATTTTATTTTTTTACATTGGTTTGATAAAATAGGTTAATTTTTTTTCCAATTTTTGTCGAATCGTTTACTGACAGTAATTGTTTGTTTACTAATTATTAATGCATAATTAAGTTATTTATTTATTAATTTAAAAAAATAATAACGTGAGTAGCAGAATTCATAGCTGAGGTCGTATTTTTCCTTATTTTTTTATTCAAAACAGCTGGAAATTTATTCATTTCAGCTTACTAAAGGAAATCGAAAACAGAATTTTAAATTGGATGGAACTCTTAATATTTTCTCATATTTTATTTTTGAACAGTATATATTCCCCCCCCCCGATTTTAACTATCCAAATGGTGGTTTAAAGAAATAAGTTTAGATTCACATAAAGCTTTCCTGACACCGACTTAATTGACATAATAGTTTTTAATCATTTAATATTATTTGGATGGATTATAAAAGGGCGAAAAACCTTATAAACCTCAAAGAACAGTAAAGAAAACAGTGAAAATGTCGATTTCCCCAAAATTGCTGAGGTTGTAATACCATAGGTTGACTACCACAACAAGTCATGAAGGGTCTTGGGTTCAGTACAATTTAGGGAAATTACTGTTTCAAGGCCAACGGTTCTGCAGAGGGAGGATAGAGCCATGATCACGCTTAACTGCCAGGATTTCCCACTTAATTAATCATTTAAGGGTACCCTCTTTGTAGAGGCTAGATGTGCCCCAGGTTAGTCGCCCCGCGGCCGATGAAACAGAATATTTTTTCTGGCATGAGCCGAGATTCGAAACTGGAATGTTTTTGTGCATTGGAAGCTCAGTACCCTACCACTAAGCTACCGCACTCCATTTTTTGTAATAGAACGGTTTTAAAATCATCATCTCCCTCTTTGATGAGCTTTAATGCAATGCTGAACATTAATACAATACTGAAGTCAATTATTTTCCTGGAATAAAAAAAAAAGGAAAAAAAAAAACAAAACAAAAACGTACCACTACAACCTTCTTAGATTCAGTATCTTGTAAGGATAACCTGTTTATTTGTCAACGGTTCTGCAAGTAGATGATTCGTCTTGAAACAAAATGGACAAACCGGGAACACAAGAGTCCAAACGCCAAGCATTCTCTCTTAACCTTTTACATACCATTGTTCCAGAAATGAAACATATATTAAACAATTTTTTTGACCAATCCAGTCATAATTAATTTGTAAAAATGATTTTTTTCATCAAAACAAAGGTTGAAATAATTTTTTCAATAAAGATGTGTATTGATTATTTTTTTTTTTTTTTGTTTTAATACTACAGCAAATGAAATTTAATTCGAATATTGATGTAATTGAGTGTGATAGATTACTGAAATAGTCCGTGGTACAGACCACTTTTTATCGAATTATTAACATCCGCCTGAAACTTCGAAAATAGTTTCATCTCATCGTAACCATTTTATTTACCAAAACTCATGGAATTGAGGTGTTTTCAATTTGGAGGGGGACAAACTTTGTTTATTTAGTTAGGTACACATTTGCTTACTAATTGAATCGTAAGATAATTTGATCACAAAATAGAAAAAAAAAAGATCGCCTACAAAAATATTGGGCCATTTGTCCTATATAACCTCGTTATTTTGAAAATTTGGAGCTGTAGTTCACGCCAATTAGCCAATGTTTTTGAAGGCCACTTTTTATCTCGATTTTGTGATCAACATTAATTTAAATTCGCTCTTCACTATCCTACAGAACTTCTCTTAATGTTTTTGGGAGGACTATTTTTTTTTTCTATTATTTTCATTTTGAAGGCATTCTTCCAATACGTGTTTCCGTTATATAAGGTAAACATGTGTTCTTCTTTCCTTGAACTGCTGGAGCTAGTGAGCAATTTACCGCCATTAGGTTTTACTTCTAAATACTTATAAAGTAAACAATACTGTTTCCAGCTAATTTAGAAAATAAACATATATACCGTTGGATATATTACTCTTTCCCATTAATATAGTATGCTAAAATATGTATACCCTTCCATAATCTGTATGCAAAATGTAGTTTCATAGTTGAAATAATTTGCCCAATCTTTATGTTTTTGCGAAAACGTATATTTTTAAAAACTGATTTAAATTGCTGGATTTTTTTTCACCCTTTGCTCGTGTCTTAAGCTAAATGGGAATTGTAATTCAAAGTCATTGGTAAAAATCCTGAACTTACAAAAAATCATAAAATACAACATATAGGACATTACATAACCAATGGAATGGTGAGGTATACTGACTTGACAGTCTTTTAAGTATCCAAAAATGTGACGATTCTCTTAATGAAAAAAAAAAATACATACCGTTTTTATTGAATATAGTTGAGAATGAGAAAGAAAAAAAAGTCAACATAATGGCTTAAAAAGAATATTAATTTAATTTAAAAATTATCAAGATAAGCCTATTATCTTCTAAATCTCCAGTTAACAACTAAAAACTCTAAACAGGAATTAACTAATTAACATGATTAAAATTAAATTTAATGTTTGCACCCCGCATGGGTTTGGGTAAGGTGTTTGTGTAGGGTTGTTTGATAAGGGCCCATGCGCCTAGATAAGAATGTAATTACTCCACTAATTGTACTGCCTAAGAGGTCGGTAAACATCGGCTTCAGGAGCAAAAGTTCATCGCAAACAACTTTAATTAAACTTCTATTTATTTAAATTATCAAGGGCGAAGAAATTTTCTCAATATTAATTTTGTCGCTCAAACGAGGTCGGCTTGGCATAAGTGACAATGTCGCGGTTTATTTTACGTTTTACCTAAGGATTGAATTCGAAAATCAATATTTTGGCCAAATCAAAATATAACAGTTATGTTTTCTTTGAAAAATCGCTATGATTTTTCAATTAATTTGTAACATTTATCCATTTTGGAAAAATATCACTTGTTAATATATACATATTTTAATCTTGTTGGCTAGGACATAACTTTATTAATAATAATAAAAACACTCATGGATCACATTAGTCCTACTTATTTGTTTCCTTCACACCAATTTTTTCAGCCCTTAGGCCATATTCAAAGAAAGAAACATATTTTAAAATAAAATAAAATTCATTTGGCTGAATCGCCTTTGTAACTACAACTTAATACTCTAATAAAAAAAAAATTATTATTAAACTTAAGTATTAGACAGTTAAGTTATAGTGAGATGGGAACCTCAGCCCATATAACTGAGTAAATATAGGAAAAAAAAACAGGGCTGATATAAAGAAAATTCATAATTGCTGTATATGTGGGAATTAGTTTCTTACCAAACGTAGAACAAACCATGAAAATTCTCCTTAAATCCCATGTCCGCATCTATCCAAAATGGAGGGTCAAAGATGGCTACTTAAAACGTTTTGTCTTACGTTATGTTTTTTTTCTTAT